TCATAGGGTCCCTCGCTATCGGAGTCCATCGGCAGCTCCAACGGCTCCTGCTGGGCCACATCACATAACCATGAAACATGACCTTGGAGACATGGTGTCTTTCTTGCAGAAGATCTCCAGATGTTCACCCTTAGGTTGGATATCTTATAGATCATCGCATATCTCACAAATCACCTCTTTCCCATCTCAGATTCCATTTAACGTGGGAATTGCCTCGTGGGCGCCCATATCTGCAGTGCCGGTCACATTTCACTGAGGGCATCTCTGGATTTTAATCTAGGCTTCTTCCATGCAGAAGAATGCTGAGTATGAAGGAAAATGTCACCCAAGGCCCAACAGCCCACATGTTTTCCAGCACCAATCTTGCAGCCAGATCACAATGCTTGGAAGATAAAAGAGTGAAGAAGCTTGTCGAATGACGCACGTCAGATTCAGAGCTGTCATACCAGGATCTAACCAAATAAAATGTTATCCATCCAACAAAATTTGACTTGATGTAGAGAAAAGTAAGGTCTTGCACTTAGGGAGGGAAAAAAAACCCAATGGACAGGTACAGAGGAGGTTAAATTTGACTCTAGAGTAGTAACTGCGCGAGGGATCTTAGAGTCTTAGTGGATAACCAGTTAAATATGAGCCAGCAGTGTGCGGGTGCAGCCAATGCAATCCTAGGTTGCATTAGCAGAGGGATAGTACCAAGATCACGTGAAGTGTTAATGTCAGTTTATAATGCGTTGGTAAGACCACACCTAATAGTATTGCATCCAGTTTTGGTCACCATGCAATTAAAAACTTTGGAAAGGGTGCAGAGAAGAGCAACTAGGATGATTAGGAAGCTGAAGGTTAAAACATATGAAGAATGGTTGCAGGAATTGAATACATCTAGTTTAACAGCAAAGCTAGACAGCATCCTAAAAAGCAGAGACATCACCCTGCCAACAAAAGTGTGTATAGTCAAGGCTGTGGTATTCCCAGTTGCAATGGGATGGCTGGGAAGATTGGACTATAAGGAAGGCTGAGCGCCAAAGAATGGAGGCCTTTGAACTCTGGTGCTGGAGAAGACTCCTGCNCACGCCCCTTCGGTCACGCTAATTGCCGCCACAACAGGCCCAGCGACGCACAACAGAGCAGCAGCCATGAGGTGACCACACTCACCGCCTCTTGCAGCTCAAAAATAATAAGACCCCCCCCCCCCAAATAAGGCCAAGCGCTTATTTCGGAGGTCAAAAAATAGACCCTGTCTTATTTTCGGGGAAACACGGTATTATCAGTTCTCTCTGTTTAACGAATGTTTGAAGTTACGGCGGACTTCAAAATAATTTACAATGTGTCCTCAAAATTGCTGCATTCTCCCCCCCCCCCCCCCGGTCATGTGATTGCATTTTGGGTACTTGGCTCATATTTACGACCGGCTACAGCGTCCTGCAGCCATGTGGCCATGATTTGTGACACCTCCCCCTCTGTTTTTTCCTGGCAGGAAAGAGCCAAAAAAAAATAAAAATCCATCCGATATATTTGATTTGCTTAATTCCCCTGTGGTTTGCTTACCAATTGGGTGATTCACCGTGTGACTCACGTTACGACCTTCTTAAAATTAAGTCAAAGGTCGTAAGGTGAGTCACATGGTCAATCACTTGGAGCCTCAACTTTATGGCCGCAATGACTTTCAACCCAAATTCCAGGCTTCATTTGTGGTTGTAAGTTGAGGACTCGCTGCAGATCAGAGGGTAGGGACAAATGATCACGATAATGAGGTTATCTCATTTAAATTCTGAAAGTATCTGCTCTGATGCAACATGGGCATTCAATTCTGGTAATCTGAAGCTGGGTTGGGTGAGGCTAACACCTTCCAGATATGCTGAGCTGAATTTCCCAGACAATAAGGAAATTGATGTCATCGGAGTGAGGAATGTACTTCTAAAAAAATCACTTGTCATTGCATTATCCATAATAAGAGTAGGTAGGCGGATGCCATATTATTCTTTACGTTTGCTGCATCAGAATTAGAGGTTGACCTTAGTATTAAGAAAGTAGATATTTATAGCTAGTTTTTGCTTTTAAGATCTAGTGTTACATTTTTATCCCACTTTAAAATATGTATTTTGGCCAACTCAAAGCAGCAAAACGTATCTAGGCACCCATTCCATCTATTTTCACTACAGCAATTGAGGATTGATATTTGGGGGAAAATAGAAGGAGTATTAGGTGTGCTCACCATCTGAAGTAATAAAGGTGAGATAAAAAGTGAATAATAAATAAACAACATCCCTGTGAGGCAGGCTTGGAGAGAGGAACTGACTCATAGTCACCCAGTCGTCTTTTGTGCCTAAGGTGGGACTAGAACTCACAATCTCGGGGTAATTGCCCTAAAGTCAGTTAGCTGGCTTTCATGTCTTAAGGCAGGACTAGAACTCACAGACTTCTGGTGATCGGCATGGTCAGTTAGCTGGCTTTCATGCCTAAAGCAGGATTAGAACTCACGGGCTCCTGGTGATTGGCATGAAGTCAGCTGGCAGGCTTTCATGCCTAAGGTGGGACTAGAACTCTCAATCCTCCTGGTAATTGGCCTAAAGTCACTGAGCTGGCTTTCATAGCTTAAGGCAGGACTAGAACTCACAGACTTCTGGTGATCGGCATGGTCAGTTAGCTGGCTTTCATGCCTAAAGCAGGATTAGAACTCACGGGCTCCTGGTGATTGGCATGAAGTCAGCTGGCAGGCTTTCATGCCTAAGGTGGGACTAGAACTCTCAATCCTCCTGGTAATTGGCCTAAAGTCACTGAGCTGGCTTTCATAGCTTAAGGCAGGACTAGAACTCACGGGTACCTGGTGATTCGTTTAAAGTCAGTGAGCTGGCTTTCATGCCTAAGGTGGGACTGGAACTCACAGGCTCCTGGTGATTGGCATGAAGTCAGCTGGCAGGCTTTCATGCCTAAGGTGGGACTAGAACTCCCAATCCTCCTGGTAATTGGCCTAAAGTCACTGAGCTGGCTTTCATGTCTTAAGGCAGGACTAGAACTCCACAGGTACCTGGTGGTTGGTGTAAAGTCACTGAGCTGGCTTTCATGTCTTAAGGCAGGACTAGAACTCACAGGTACCTGGTGATTGGTGTAAAGTCACTGAGCTGGCTTTCATGTC